AGGTTGACAAAGATAAGTAACACATTTAGCAGATATTTCCGTATTGCGCAAGTGTGAAGCTCTGTTTTGGGGATTATGTCTCTTTATATCAGGCAACCCAGTTGTGTTCCTCTGCGGCCAAATTAAACCTAGTTATAGCCTATATATTATTCTCTATTCATAATTTTTTTAGAAACCTCACACTTTTCTGCTCCATTTTAAACGTTGTTATTGTATTCAAATTAAGCGCGGTCCACTGCTGCACACGTGCCACAATATCGATATTTTGCATCTTGTTTTTAGGCCCATAAATAATAATGAACTCCTTCTAATAAATTTATATTGTAATGTAGGCCACTCATTCTAATATATTTTTAAAAATCATATTTACATTGCTGGTATGTTATCATTGCACAAATTAACACTCTCTACAATAAAAAAAAAAAAATTAGAAGAGTTCTAAACTAACGCGCTAAATTAAGCGCGGTCCACTGCTGCACACGTGCCACAATATCGATACAGGGCTAGCTGTATTGATACTCATATCGTCAAATCTCTGCGACGATACATCGTCGTATCGATGTATCAAACACAGCACTATTATTTTCACAAGTAAGGGGTACATTTTCAAAATTCTTATTACAGAAATCCAAACTGATCAAACTTGTAACACAACTTTTAAAACCAGATCTCATGTTTTCATCACAGTTATAGGCCTACACATTTTCAGTCCACATACTCACTCTTTGAAAATATTGATTAATTTGGTTTGGTTTGTTTCACTGAAACACAACAGAAAATTCTGAATGAACAACAGTTCATTCAACAGCAAACAATGCGAGATACATTGCAAATCACCTTTCTTGCTGAAATAGTTGCAGTAACACAGATTTGATACATTAGAAAATAGAATCTAACTTAATTTATATCATTTTTTTGTTTGTAATTGTACCTATTCAGTGTGTCATCAAAAGTTAGCCCATGTAGTTTGACACAGCCATGAGGTTTTGTGCTAGAACAGAGTTTGCTGCCAATGCAGTAAATGTTGTCACTGTACCGTATGACAGTATCACAAGGTATACAGTAATGTAAAATGCTGTATTTGATGCTATTTGTCTCCCTTCTACAGATGAATCTCTTAACACTCAGATGTTATACAATCAATACTGTAACTGTTTCCTCTCTCTTGTACTCTATCCTGCTCTGTGTTCACAAACTGCAAATCTCTGTGGCTCTCTCACACATACACTTTGAACATAGTGGTTATCATCTAAGATAAATCGCTTGAAAAGAATTCATTACATTTGGTAATCCGTATTGGAAATTTCAAACAAGTTCTGTAGCTACATATATAGAATATAGATATAGTATATTTATAGAAATGTAGGCTATAGATTTAACAAATGATTCACCTCTGGTGTGACTTTAAATGCGGACCTTGAGCCAAAAACTCATCACCAAACACCAATGACTTCTACATATGGGTCAGTCATTTTAGACGCTTCCAAAACTGCTGCAGAGATGGAAATACAATTTTTAAATACATGAATTATGTTTCCATCTTTGTTGCCACAGTTTTGTAAGTGCCTTTTTCAGTTCTAAAGAAAGGGGTGTCCCAATACTTTTGTCCATATAGTGCATGTACAAGTCATTGGTGTTTGGTGGTGAGTTTTTGGTTCAAGTTCTGCATTTAAAGTCACACCAGAGGTGTTCAGCTGGGATTAGGACTTGGCTTTCTGCAGACCTGTCGAATTCTTCCACACTGACTGAATCAATCATTTCTTTTTGAACCTTCTCTTATACACAGAGGCATTGTCATGTTAGAATAGAAAAGGGTCATTGTCCAAACTGTCGCTATAAAATTAGAAGCGCACAATTCCATAGAATATCATTATATGTTTAAACATCAAGATTTGTACTCATGAAAATTACTATAGTAGTCAAACCTATTCATTAGAAGGGGGTGTCCCAATACTTTTGTCCATATAGTGTATCTTTCTCCCGTCCATTGCTAAACTAATACACAAACTAATACGCAATGGAGAGGTTGCCAAATTGTTTCGCTAATAGCTGATTATTGCAGTTTAACTTGAGGGTGTTCTTGAGGTTTTGAGGGTGCTTTGCACCGCGTGATAAAATGGATATGTGGCGTAGAGCATGAGAAGAGTGTCAATTGCGAGAGTTTCACGCTGAATGCGTAAGACTTGGCAGCCCTGCTAAGATATACCTGAGTGTGAATCAAATTGAGAGCTTGCTATTTTGAAATGAATTGGGAATTCTGTATCAAAAAATGTGTATAACCCGAATTTTAACAACTTTCTTTGTGTAATGCAATATTTATTTTAAATGAATTTAAAACTGCAAGAAATAATGTCACATAGGCTAATAGCCATATGAATAGCCATGTCTTGTTTCTCTAATAGGTACTTTACCAGAACCATATATCAGTTCCAGTTTCAAGAGGCCTTATGTGAGGCAGCTGGCCACACTGGTCCCCTTTATAAATGCGACATTACAAACTCAACCAAAGCTGGTAACAAACTCGGGTATGCAGAATGATGTATGTTCTATTAATAACTCCTATATTCTTTCATTTTAGGATAAATATAACTGCTATAAACAAACAAAAATATTTTGGTCCACAGGCATATGCTTGAGTTAGGCAGATCCTTGTCTTGGACTCATGCTCTGGAAGATGTTGCAGGAACCACGAGGATGGACTCTCAGCCACTGCTACATTACTTCAGCACTCTCATGGACTGGCTAAAGGAGGAGAACCAGAACAACAACAGAGTGCCTGGCTGGGATGTCAATATTAACCCAAGTTAGTATTTAATTTGAACATAAACATTACATTTCTTTAGATTCTTATAATAAATTCAGCTATTATATAATCTTCATCCATCAGTGCAAGTACTGATATGACCACATACTATATATTGAAAAAATTAAACAAATAAATAATTAGGTGTATTTACTTGTTCACAGCATCCTCTGTAAATAAAGATGATTCAAATGCATTCAAAGTCAGAATACGCCTAAACTCTGCCATGGGAGATGATGCAGTAAGCCTCTTAATTTTGAGCAAACAATGATTTACAGATAGAAATTGAATTTGCCTTTGCTAATTACTGTAATTTTTAATCTCCAGTACACTTGGAATGCAAATGAAATGTATCTCTTTAAGTCCACTATGGGCTTTGCCATGCGCCAGTACTACTTGGAAGAAAAGGGAATAGAAATGAATTTCATGCAAGTATTATCTCTTCTTATCCTTCACTAATTGCACATTTCAGAGTGTTATTGAATCATTGTCATTGTGACATTGCACAACATATTTGTTGCGCACAGGCCAGAGAATATCAACACATACAATGAAACGGCCAGAATTTCCTTTTATTTCGTTGTGATGGATCCAACCAAACCAGACACAGTCATTCCCAAAGCAGATGTAGAGGCAGCTATCTGGTATTTCTCGAAACCATACCATATACTATAATTTTAAATATATTTTATAACTATATAATATTTTTAAACTAATTATAGAGTGTATGAATATTGGGTGCCATGACATAATTAAGGAGAACTTGAGCAGCTCCAGGTTGTCCAGAGAACGCATCAATGGTGCATTTTTACTCAATGATGAAACGCTGGAATTTGTTGGGCTGCAGGCAACATTAGCTCCACCCAAAGAGGAAAAAAATCACAGTTTGGCTGGTGGTATTTGGAGTCGTAATGGGTGTAACTGTGTTTGGGGGGATCTACCTCATTACCACAGGGATATTAAACAGGAAGAAGTAAGTACTGCAGGTGAAACACTTCAAGAATGAGTCAATGATTGAAAGCAACTTAGAGCCAGTTCAGTGTCAGTGAAGATTGTCATTGTCCATATTAAAACACTGACATGTTTGGTAGAACTGCATCATCATAACAGCTATATGCATTGTGGACCATGATTAAAAATTACACAAAGATGACATGATCCAACAATGGTACAGTGCAATAAGCACTTTATTTTTAGCATCAAAGTTAGAAATGTTACACATAATAATTAATTTCTATAGAAATAGTAAAATATGGGCTTCAAAAAACAAAATAATAATTCACATGAATTAAATCCATACAAGATTTTACCACAACTGGTGTGGTATTTAATTGCTTACATTAGTGCAAAAGGTTTTTTTTTTTCTTTTCAGGAAAGCTAAGAAGGCTGACGAGACTGTGAACCCATATGAGAATTCAGATGGAGAAGAGAACAAAGCCTTTGAGGAAGACATTGAACAAACAGGACTATAAAGAAATAGGTGCTTTCAAAAGCATCTATACCATTGCCTGCTTTTGGAAACGTTTTGTTTTCCAATAGAATAAAAAAAAAATGTTTTTCCTTGGAAATGTTTTATTTAAATGCTTGATATTAAAAGTGTAGAAAGATACATGAACACATTATAATGTGATAAATTATAAATTTACTCTAACCAATGGGAAAGCTCAAATTTCTAGTAGCTTATGCAGGCAAATGTAAATAGAGGTTAATATTATAAATATATTGATAACGTACTCATGTATTTTAAAAATACTATGAACATTCTGAATAAAATCCTTAAATTAATAAGATGTTTTAATATCCAGCGGGTTCTGTGGTCTCACTCTAAGACAAAGCAACTGCTGGATGTATTATTGCCTCTTTTCATTTTCACAACATCATCATTTACAGTGTGAATGAACCATCCTCTGTGGAGCGCTGACTCAAAATACCGGAGACCATCCCACTTTTGAGACATGTAGAAAATAAGGGATGATTTTTCTGGGTCATCTGCAGAAATGTGTATATTTTTTCTGTCATACGCCTGAAATAAACATAAAAAAAGTTGGTTTGCTGTTGAAGTTGAACAGGAAGACAGTGTAATACTATATTGGAGCACAATAAACATATTTTTGTAACTTGCAGAGCAATGCTCCGCTATGCAACTCTTGCAAAATCAAGAAACAGATTACTGAAAGCTTACTTTGATTGTTAATATCTTGTCCTCTCCTTGGCCGGTGCAGCAGAGGAAGTTGTCTGTGCCTGTGAAGTTCAGCACAACAGGAACACCTGATTCTCTGTCGCTGGTGACCATGCCAAGGAAGGTGCCATGAAAGATGGTGAGTTTTGCTGGGGGGGGAAAAAAGTGAAATTTGTGGAAAATAACAGAAAACAAATAGCACTGTCACAAGGTAATAATAAAAATATGATTTTCATTATTTGATGCAAACCTGACATGGTTTTTTCCAAACATATCTCGTTCTGTTTTGATGCAACATAATTGCATCCTTTGAGTGTCTTCAGGAACAAATTGCTTTGCTCTTTAATTACTTTCCAAATTTGTGCAGAAACTGAAAAAAGGTAGCAGAATATTACAACCAGAACTTCCATTTTCTTATGAAAGAAATGGAAATTTCAACATTACATACTTCAAAATGAATAAAAACAGTGAAGAATAAATCATTCTTACTATAGGCAATATCAGCTGTCTCGGCCACGATCTGGCTTTCATTAAGCTGCCAATCACCGTTGCAGAAAGGGTTGTCAGCATCAGAGTCTTGATCAACCATCAGATTCAAGCTCATGTTTGCCAGGGAACGAAGCACATCGTCATCAACGAAACAGTTGTCCTCAATGTCCTTCTCTTTCTGCTCTGGTTGTGGATGCGATGGTTCCTGAAGCGCACCCAACTCAGTGTCTTCCATTGACAGGCTGAATCTCATGAATTTCAACATCTTTTTATTGCATTGGGTGGCCTCCGATTGAGCTTTTTCAGTGCTCGGATGACGTACAGTCTACGAGAGGAGATGAATTGCTTTATTTGAGTCAAAAAGGTGGTCTCTTGAATGTATTTGTTTCAAATGCCAACCTCAACGTGGTCACACGTGTCATTGAGTTTCCTGACTAACGTTAGGCGGAAAGGTCGCAGTAAACATGACAATTTTGTTTCTCTTTCCCGTAACATTTATACAGGTTAAATGAACAGAGAAGTGAAAGAGCATATTAAGTAAAAGTGAACTAGGACATCAGAAAATGCCTACGTTTTTGCACTACTTATCATCTGGAGTTTATCTCCCTTACTGAAAATTAATATAGACATTGATCAATTGCTATTTATTGTAAAAATGCTTTTGCGAAATATGTATTTATATTTACACCAGCTACAAAATATAAAATTGCTACATACCTCTGCTTCCATGTTGATCTCAGCGCTGATAAAAAAGGATGTGAGAGCCCTGCCTTTGAAACGCTGCTTTTTCAATGTCAAAGCCCTCATGCGGTAGAAAGAGGAAGTTACGAGACATATACACCAAAGCGTGAGGTTTGGCTGGAAAAATTGATGGTGTGTTGGTGGGGAAAACACAAACGTATAATTTGAAGAGGTTGGACAAAACTGGCTCTTAGTATCATTACCAAAACATACTCAGCAGTCATGTCAAACGTTCAATAGCTTATTAAGCCTAGATGCCTATAAAAGGCATGAGGTAATAACACATAACCTGTTTTGTTAAAGTGTGAACTTAAAAAAAAGTTGTTTTTTTCTTCCCCTCTATGCCAACCTGAGACAAAGTGGTTAACGGAGGTAGAAAAGGTCACAGTTTGGCTGTTGGTAATGAGACTAGTGGTAAACGTGGGGATCTTCCTACTGCTGGGACGTTCAACATGAAGAAGTAATTAGCCTATTGAAGGGGAAGCACATCAGAAATTATATAATATATCAGCACTAATATAACCAGTTTAGTGACAAAGATGATGCAATTCTTGCCAATAGCACATTTTATATTGGAATTGCATCATAGGGCACTGACAGTTATGACCTACAAAACAATTTTATTCATATTCTTAATCAAAATCTTTAATAAAAACAACTAAATGAAGCCATTTCCTTCATATAATTAGTAAAATTATTTAAAGTAATTTTGTTGTAAATGTAATGAAGTAATTACGCAGGATTCTTAAGATTAAATGTGATTAATAAAATGTGTAATCATAAATATGTTTACACACTAAATCGAATAAGAATTAGTATAAAGTTATTTTGATTAACATATGTTCAATGACATTCTTTTAGGAAGTGTAAAAAAACAGATTTATATTATTTTAAAATAGTGGAGATCTAAATGAGAGAACAACCAATCATTTCCTAAATTTCAAGGTCACTGCTTAGTCCATGGGCGTCGCTTGGCCATTTTTAGGGGGTCTATAGCTCAAATGACTACTCAGCCCACCTAAAATTTTGCGATTAGCTCCATAAACTGTACACGAATTCGTGATCGCCTCATTCCCCTTTAAACTTCACCTGAAAACGGCGGCAGACTTCGATCGGCTCCTCCCCGTCTTTCAGCGCTTCGTTTTCAATCCGCAGACCGCGGCGGCGCAGAGCGAGAAACAGAGGACAAGGTGTGTTTATCGATAGATTGTTATAATATCTGCATCTGTGCAGTTCTTTGCCATATATACAGTTTACAACATATCATGGGGGAGCAATCGGTTCCCCATCTACTGTAGTTTTCGCTGCGTTAACCCCTCATCGCACCTTCCTCCAACGAAAATGAAGCACATATGAACGCATATAGGCTACTTTATAAAACGATGTTGCGACATTT